GCTGGGATAAAAGTGAAACCAAACCTTCTGCTCCACCAGAGCCAGCTCCACCCTATTATGAGGACGCCCGTCTGGGGCTAGAAGAGGGATCTCTTGACCCTGAGGATGAGTCTGCCCTAGGAGAGGAGACAGTTGAGTATGATCAGGAGAAGTGTCCTGATCACTGGGAAATTAAGCAATTAAGGACAGAGTTAGACGCTGTGAAGAAGGAAATGTTAAAAAACAAAGAGAAAAGAATTAGGCCTCCTCCTCCAAGGCCACCAAAGGCTGTTGCACCTCCCATGATTGCAATGGCTCAGGAGCCTTCGGCAGGAATCTGGCACCTGCTTAGAACCATGCAATCTCCATTACAACAGGCCATTGGTGCAGCTGCAGAGAGAGGAGAGTCAGTGCAAGGATTTCAGGTCTTCCCAGTTTCTGAGCAAGTTGATCAGCAGGGCAACAGGGTGCGGTCTCATGCACCTGTGCCTTTTAAGCAGCTTAAGGAACTAAAGACTGCTTGTTCTCAGTATGGTCCCACTGCCCCTTTTACGCAGGCTTTGTTAGAATCCCTGTCCATGGACACGCTTCCTCCCAGAGATTGGAAACACATGGCACGTGCTTGCCTTTCAGGGGGAGATTATCTGTTGTGGAAATCTGAGTATGAGAAACAGTGCCAGGTGACAGCAAATACTAATAGAGCACAAAATATTCCCATAGATTTTGATATGTTAGCTGGTGAAGGACAATATAGGGACACTGCTCAGCAGTTGCAGTACGATGTTGCGGCCTATGCCCAGATCAGTGCTGCAGCCCGAAGGGCCTGGTATAAACTGCCGTCTAGTGGTAGACAGACTGAGGATTTGTCTAAGATCAGGCAAGGTCCGGATGAGCCATATCAGGATTTCGTGGCTCGACTACTACAAACTGCCGGTCACTTGCTGGGAGATAGTGAAGCAGGTTTGCTCTTAGTAAAACAGCTTGAGTTTGAGAATGCCAATGGAGCCTCCACTTTGAGGGTTACCCTAGGTTCAGGGAGGGGATCTGAACCCCGACCCTGCCCTAGTCACTTATTTCTCTGAGCTTGAGGATTTGCACCCCTTCTCAGGCTCCACCTCGTCCAGCAGGCTTTTCTGGGCAATCTTTTATCCAGTGGCCCATCTTTTTGCAATAGGCACACTGGTTCTTCTGTAACCTTGGTCGCCCTTCCTGGGGTTTCCTACCTGGGTCCACAGAGAGGTAGCGCAGTTGACATTCCCGCTCATCAGGCGACTTTGTGGTCATAGCCAGAAGGATCTTAGTGCAGTCTAAGGCTGCGGCTCAAGCTTGTTTGTCTTCCAGGCTTTCTCTGTGGTTATAGACCCTCTCTGCCACTGCCAAAAGCTCCAGCAGAGTCTTATCTGCCAATCTATATAGTTTTTGTAATTTGTGCCTGATGTCAGGCACTGACTGGTTGACAAAGGCCAATACAACTGCATTCTTGTTTTCTGGTGCCTCTGGATTCATGGGTGTATAATTGCGGAATGCCTCAAGGATCGTTTCTAAAAAGGCTGCTGGGGATTCTGTCTTTTCTTGCTGTACATCACTAATCTTAGCCAAATTAGTCAGGTGCCTTGTGGTGGCCTGGAAACCCCCTATTAGAGTCTGGTGGTAGACCCGAAGCCTCTCCTTACCTTCTGCTACATTGAAGTCCCAGTTTGGTCAGTCTAATGGGAAGGCTTCATCAGTCAGCGCCTGGTTGGTGGTGGGATTCCCATCCACCCCAGGGATCAGTTTTCAGGCTTCAATTTGGATCCAGTCCCTCTCCTTAGTGGTAAATAGAACCTGTAATAGCTGCTGGATGTCTTCCCAAGTGGGCTGGTGGGTGAAAAGAAAAGATTCTAACAAATCAATAAGGCCCTGTGGTTTCTCAGAGAATTTGAGATATAAACAGTAAATAAACAGTACAGAGACACACAATGAAAAATAAAATAAACAGTACAGAGACACACAATGACAAGACAACACTTCCTGGTGCCTTAAACAAAAACCAAAAGTGGGACGTCGGCCTCTTGCTGCTTTGTGGGCCTGACCCACCTCACCCCTTCAAAATCACAAGGGGAACCAATCCCTGTCAGGTGGGTCTGGGACGTCTCCCAAATCCCACAGCCTGGAGTCTTCCAGCATGTCCTCCTAAACTGCCAGCAGGTTAACACAGTAATGGGCCTGAAACCAAGAGTGCGCAATACACAAACAAGAGGACAAAGACACCAGCCAGAGCAGGCTCAACGCTCCAGGTGTCCTGTGGGGTCTTGGGGATCCCGGACAAGCCCCCAAATGTTGCACCCAGATCTTGCGAACCCCAATGACCACCAAGGAGTCTGGAGAGTATGCAAAAGCAAAGAGCCTTTCTTTGAGCTTAAGCTCGGGCCCTCAGATTTCACTGACACAGCAGATCCATACTGAAAGGCCCAAACCAGGGTAGGGTAAGCTTTTATATGGAAGTTTCACAGAAGCCCACGCGCACACTAAGCATCTTTTAAAATGATTGGATAGCTCTATGCCCTGAGTACAGGGAAGATTTTTATTGGTAGGAGCTGTCTTTAGGGCATTGGAATGTGCTGACTGTTATCTGTAGGGCCAGAAGTTTCTGTTTTTACCTTATAAGGCTTTTACTGACCTATAGCTTCTGGGGGGCGGGTAGTAACTGGAAATTTACAACATACCTGGGCTTATTTGGGCTTGCCTGAAACAGCTAGTTAAAATGGAGTCAGTGTATTCTGACTCTTTTATTTTGACTCTTCACTTACACACATGCAGGCAGTACACTCATACACGTAAAATAAAACAATAAATATTTTAAAAAAAGAAAACACATGCTGACAAGGCTGTTGTGATGTTTTGAATGAGAATGTCCTGCATAGGCTCCTGTCCCACCAAATTTTTCCCTGAGAGACCCAAGAAAGCTCTCTGGGATCCCAGGGCTGACAAAACCAACAGGATACCTTCTATTTGGGTTTTTGCATAGTTTATGATGTCTGGGAGGGGGTGACTTTCAAAGGCACGAACTCTCGTGGGCTCTTTCTCTCCCATATTTGAGATCCATGCCATTAGTGCACATCCTACCTGAAGTCTGTGTGCTCCGTTCCAAAATGGTGACTACTCCTCCCCTTTTTCCCAGTGCACTCAGTGTTTCTCAGTGTCTTTCCCTAGACCCTTCCCCTCTGAGTCTCTGGGGGTTCAGTTCTAGCTTCCTCAGAGGACACAACTACCCAACAGCTCCAAGTGTTCAGACATTTTTGTCCCCAGTTGGCAGAGCTGTTTTGGGAGGTCTTAGAAGGTGTGGCCATGCTGGAGGAAGTACTTAAGCCTTGCCAGATCACAAATCCCTTGCTTTTCTCTGTGCCTGCTTGAAGATGTGAGAGCTTAGCTTCTGCTCCTCCTCTAGCCACCTCTGCTGCCATGCCTCCCCATCATGATGGACTGACTCTTGCCCCTTTGGAACTGTAAGCTAAATAAACTCTTCCTTTTATAAGTTCCCCTGCTCATGGTGTTTCTATCAAAGCAACAGAAAAGTGACTGATACAGATGTAGTGGAGTGGAGGGGGCTTATAAACTGCTAGTAGAAATGTAAACTAGTTCTGCCCACTGGACAACTCAGAATGGAGGTTCCTCAGAAAACCAAAATAGTATTACAAAATAATCTAGCCATACTGCACCTGCATATATTCCCAAAGGAATCTAAGTCAGTCTACCACAGAGATACTTGCACATCCTTGGTTACTGCAGAACTATTCATAGTAGCCAATATATGGAATCAGTCTAAATACCCATCAACAGATGAAAAACCAAAATTTGGAGTTTTATTCAGTCAGAAAGAAGAAGGAAATTGTCATTTTCAAGTAGAATGGGTAGAACTGGAGATCATCCTGTTAGCCAAAATAAATCACACTAAGAACAAGTGTCACATGTTTTCTCTCAAATACAGGATCTAGATTTAACTTATATGTGTATGGCACTACAGTAGAAGGGGTCGATGTTGGGGAGGAATGGGCCTATGGGGGGTGGGTAGCACGGCATGACACCTTTAATCCCAGCATCTGGAGGCAGAGACAGGAGGATCTCTGTAAGGTCAAGGTTATCCTGGTGTACATAGTGAGTTCCAGTCTATCCAAGGCCACATAGTGAGGCCCTGTCTCAAAAAAACAAAACAACAATAAAAAGAGTGGGGGGAGAAAGCATGATTTGGGAAAGAAAGACAGTGCTTTCTCTCATGTGTAGAGTTTAGACTTAACATATATATGACATGAAAGCCCAGGGGAAATTCAGGGGGAGAGAGCACTAGTGAAGGGGAAAGGAGAGGGTAATGGGCCAGTGAAATGTCACAAGACCCACTTATTCTGTATGTGTTCTACAGGAATGCCCTCCAAGCCAGACAGACACGATCTTCCTGAGCTCAGCTGTGCTCACTTGCAAAAGATCATCTCAGCTGGACTTGTTGACTGCTGACCTCCCTCTCATACAAGGGACTAGGAGGGTCATGAGATCTTCACCTGAGCATCCAGTCACTCCTCCCAACATGCTGTGGGAAATTCTGCCCTAAGTACACATGGCCTTGGGGAGAGCTAGAGTATATAGGCCAGGGAAGATCAGGAAGAAGAGGGGCTCCATCTGAGCAGATTTGGGGAAGCTGTCATCCATGATTGAGTGAAGACTTCCTGGTACAGCCTTAGGGGAGAATACCCACACTCCTGTAAGTAACCTCTCATCCATTGCTCTTATAAGGAAGCCCAATAAATGCACTGGATTCCCAGGGTGAACTTTGGTGAATTATACCTCAGATTGTTGTTGGGACCAAGGAAAGAAGGGCCGAATAAAAATGTCTTTTTATTTTGTGACATTAAAAGTAGATAATACTAAGCTGCAGACTGCACAAATGGCTCCTGTTTCAATAACCCCATGCCCCTAAACACCATGCTTTCTACCTTAAACACCATCCTGTTACCCCTCCGTAAAATTCTAGTTAAAAATCTTGAGACAACCCCCGCCCCCCAAATAGGATTCCCAGTCATAGACCATGGCAGCTGAAGTCATGGAGGAATAAGTTACAAGGAGAAGACTCTTAGCTTTCCTTGCTGAGCTCTGTCTCACAGACCCAACTATAGGACCTCTGGCAGACGTCATCATTCCAGCGACCATCTGGGTTGAAATGGGCACAGTCCTCACCTCCTCCCAATCCATGTCCATGCCAGTTATCTGGCTGCTCTGGGGCCCAGTTTCTACAAAGAGAAACAGACAAGGGGTTTGGGAATTCAGACTATAAACCACATCCCCAGATTCTACCACATAGCCTCGGGTCACAGGCTGGGAAGAGAGGAAGTCCAGGGCAAAGGGCACTAGATGGGGCAGATGTACACACTCACGTAAAGCCTTTGTCAAAGTCAGTGCTATCCACCCATCTCCAGGGCCCATTTTCGTCAGTTAGACCCATCCAAGTGTGCTTGTGGGCTATTCGATTCTCTAGAAATTTCTGAAGAAAGAATAGGGGGTGGTAACCTCTCTCTTAAACCAAAGAGCTTCCCAGAAGAGCCCAGCCAGCCTCACCTGCTCCTCCATGGAGTTGACCACCACCAGGTGGGCATTCTCCAGCTGGCAATACTTGTCAGCCTCTGGCCATGATTTCCCAGATTGAGAGAACCAGTAGCAACTGCCTTCATGTTCTAACCAGTGAAGGGGGCAGCAGGTCATTTCAGAGCCTAAGGAGGGTACAGGGAAGATGAAGGAGAGAGGCATGACCATTGTGACATCTACCACTAAGCGGAGCAAACTACGCCAACACCTTCCTCACCATTGTTCTTGAGGTTGGCCAGCTGGCAGTTCAGGGACTTCAAGTCCTTCCCCAGCTGTTGGATGTGCAGGAATATTTCAGATTGATCTGGGACACAAAGACAGGAGTGGGGACAGCGCTCTAGGGGTAGCATCTGCTTGGTGAGTTCCTAGTGCTCCGCACAGAGCCTAGCAACACCCCCACACCCACACACACACACACACAAAACACACACACACACACACACACACATGCACACACACACCTCCTACCAGGCACAGGGCAACAGCAATCTGACCTGTTTTGAGTGCCTGCTCCTTTTTCTCCACCGTGCTCTCCAGAGACTCCACCTTCTGTTTCAAGCTGCGGCCTAGAAGGAGGGCAGTTCAGCACCAGGAGGCCACGTCCACCCACAGCCTTCTGCACGTTCACAGACCAAGGTCTCACCTGCTTGCAGTTCCTGCCTGTTATCCTCCACCTCCTCTTTCAGAGAACCTATACTTTCTTGCAAGCTGTTACCTGGAGAGCAAAGGGCTGAAGCTCAGCATTCGGTCCTCCCCACCCACCCTGACTCTAGCCCAGAACCCTGTCAAAGTCCAGCTCACCCTTGGAGGTCAGTGCCTGGAATTTGACCTCTGTGTTTGAGGTGAGGTTGTCCAGAGTGGTTCTCAGGGTGCCTAGGTCTCTCTGTAACTGGGAATCTGATGAGGTGGACAGGATGAGCAGAACCAAGATAGATCATGTCCTCCACGTGGCAGCAGTAAGCAGGGCTCTTTGTGTGCCTTTGCATGCCTCATTCTGCCCCCACAGAAACCCAGTGGGGCAGGTACTGCTGTTACCCAGTATTGCACATGAACAAACTAAGGCTCAGGATGTGAGGCAATGTGACTGTATAACCCAATAACAAGTGGAACAATCAGAAGTCCTCCCCCTCAGGGTCCTTCGCTATCCCCACTACTGTTCTCGTCCACCACTCCATTAAAGACACTATCCATTACAGCCCTCTGGCTATTACCCTTGTCATTGTCATGACCCTCACTGTTGTCTCACAATGGCCCCTTGGACTCATCAGTGCTCCTGCTAAGCGTCTCTCCATCCACCCTGCTCCACCACTAGACCATTGTGGTTTCTCCCTTCCCTCCCAGCCTGAGGGCACCTACTTTGGTATCCAATCACAGCGACAACCACCAGCAACAGGAGGCTGAGGCCCAAGGAGAACAGGATAAGGCAGGTCCAAGACAAGATATTGTACAGGATAGACTGGGGAGGAGGCACTAAAAGAGAAGAGTGTCAAGATGCAGGGGTTTCAGAATGGATGTTGGGGGCAGTGAGGGCTCTCAGGGGATGAATGCTTGACCCTGAAAATGTCAAGGCGCATGACCAAAGAATTATGGGAATTTAGATGCCTAGGCCTTTGCCTCCTCTAAAGCACCAGTTCTGTGGCCCTCTCAGAGCTCTGAGAACATGCTTAATATCCCCTAGGAACTGACATGCATGTAAGCAAACAGACAAGCATAATGGTGATATGTGAGGTCTTACTATGAGAGCTGGTGGAGGTGCCACAGGACACAGAGACAGGGGCATCAGGTTCACACATAACTACACAATCAAGTATGCCAATCAATGAGTTTCTTCTTCAAACCCAATTAATCTCCTTCACAGAGCACTGGAAACCAAGTCACTGGAGTCCTCCTTGTCTCTGTCTTTCTGAGGACCTTATATCCTCTTCAAAATGGGCCATCAGAGCTAAGTCCTGACCCCATCAAAGTCACACAGCACTGCACAGGGTCGATGTATACACAAGACATGACAACAGAAATCTTACGTAGACTATTAGATTGTGTCAGGAGTGTGCTTCTTTCCTCTTACCTTTTTCAGTCTCCTGGTTTTTGTCCTCACTCTGCAAATTCTGGAGGTTTTCATACAGCATTGCCATGTAGCTGGCCTCAGAGGCTGTCTAAACTGAAATGGAGAGACCAGGACCCAGGTTGGTACAGAGCTGGGACCAAGAAGGAGGCTGGAAGCTGGGTAGAGCAGATATAAAGCATGAAGCATACAAATGTTTCATATTAGAACCAGAGTAAAAAGGGCCCAGCATGCAACTAACTTAGAAGTTGAGTCAGGATTGGGCTTTGTACTATCATCCAATTGAGTTTTGTATTAACTTTGAAGGTAAAGATAAAGCTAAACTTACTGCTACTAGTAGGTCTAAAATGGAACTGATCTTGAGGTCCTGTCCCATGCTGGGATGCCATGGTACTGGTACTTAGACTGGAGGCCTGGGAGGAATTGAGCCTAAGCTTGCAGTGAACAGGAGTAGCATAGAGCTGTAACTCAGCCCTTGGCCAGGGCTGATGTAAATATTCAAGTTGGATCTAGGGTTGGAACTAAGATGGTGGCAGAACTGGGGTTAGGGCTATGATCAAGCTACAATAGGCAGCAATCTGCTGCTGCAGAGTTCAGTCTTAGTCTCTCTGGGGTTGTGGCTGCCATAATCCAATCTAGCATCCAGTGAAGGGAAGAGTCTTAGGTCTTCACTGGAAATGAAATCCCACACTACTCTCTTGTACATCTTCCCACTTAGCCACATCAAAGACCCCCTCTCGCCTCATCTGCTAACACATTATCTACCCCATTGGTCTCCCTGGCAGCCACAGCACATTACCTGTGGGAAGTCTGCAGACTGTGATTCTTGATTTTCCTCTGCAGCAATAACTAGAGGTGGGAAGTCACTCAAAGTTGAGAACGATATCCTGGAGGGTTGATGTGGGAGGGACCAAAGCAGAAGCCCCACACATGCGAGAATCCAGCTGATCTTTGGGTCTGAAAATCTAGTGGTCTGTACTTAGGTCTGTACTTAATTGCAACCATAAGTAGTAGTGAGTGAATTACAACTGAACATGCACAGAGGTTGTGGAAGGTGGAGTTGGGTTTCGGGTTAGCTTTGTGCTTATTCTGTAGGGCGTGTCTTCTTCCATTTCTCTTTTGGGGAGCTCTCATGACTTCCTCATTTTTAGAATGTGGGAGGAAGCGCTTGACCAGAAAGAACAATCTGTATTTTCTTCTGTCCCTCACCATCTTCATTCATTTCCTGCCTATTTCCAAGAATTGTTGGAGTCTCTATCAGTAACCCCAATCGAAAAGTAGCCCACTCTCTGATCTTGCTCATTCCTGTCATGAGTCCACAACATCTGACTGTTACCAGTTAGCCAGCTGTAGGCTTTTTTTGCTCTATTCAGATAGAAATCAGGAGTTGGCAAGTTGCAGAGCTGTGCCCTTGAGTTCCAAAGGTCTAATGGTAGGACTGATAGACTCAGAGGCTCATGGCTGAAGTTCTGAGCTAGAAAGTTATAGGTCTGGCCTCTAAAGGCCAGATTTATGGCTGGAGCTACCCAGATGGGAGGATTGTTGCTCTGGAATTTGATTGCCAGTTTCCTGGCTCCCAGCTGCTTGTATAATGCTCAGCCCTTAGCAATAGCCAGTGATGGCAGCAGCACATGCTAGCGAGTGTTCCTGCTCTTAAGCCTCAGGTGTCAGAACACTCGGCTCCCTTACTCTTCTAGTGACAATGGCTTGCAGTCCCTGGTCTTTGTCTCCTCACAGACTTTCAAGTTCCACTGTGTTGTCATTTCTACCACCTCTGCTTCCTGCCATCCTTGCACCTGACCACTCTCTGGAACCATTCAACTGCCTCTTGCCACTGTAACCACCTCACAGCTGCTCCCTTGCTGTTGCTCCACTATGGTGTTACCAGCTCAACTGCTCTACTTTTGATCAAAATCAAAAGTAGAAAAGAACATTTGGGTGAAGCCTCTTTTGGGGCAAAGTTTGCACATTAGGGGTTCTCCTAGCTAATTAGAAAAGTGAGCCAAATAGCCTGCTTGTGTAGCCACAAAGGCAGTGTAGCAAAGGTGTTTACACCAATCACAAATAGTCATTCCCTACAAATTAAGTCTGGGTTTGCACCAATCACATGCCATCAGGAAAGTGTGGAAATTGTTGCTAGAGTTCACTGAGGCTTGTAATGGCAAAAGTCTTGGCACAAACTGTTTCAAAATGTTAATGCCTGCCCCTGAGAGTTGAGGTTGTACTTGGAAAACAAGCAGCTGTGGTTGCAGAAATCTGTGAAAGGGCTGGAGAGATGGCTCAGTGGTTAAGAGTACTGGTGCTATTCCAGAGGACCGAGGTTTGGTTCCCAGCACACACATGGTGGCTAACACCCATCCATAACTCCAGTTCCAGGGGATCTGACTCCCTCTTCTAGCCTCCATGGGCATTACAAGCATGTGGTGCACTTACATACATGTAGGCGAAATTCATACACATAAAACAAACAAAAAAATAAATCAAAAGAGTGAGAGAGGAGGAAGAGGAGGAGGGGGGGAGGAAGAAGCCTGTAGAGTGTTCAAAGCAGTGAGACTGGCATGCTTGGCTGACAGTCCTCCATTTAAAACAGCCTGAGCATTGGGGAAGGGCCTAACACTGGTAAGTTAAGGAGTTAAATTGCCATAGCCCCCAATACCATAACTTATTAATGGAAAAAAAACCATTTAGAATGTTGCCTACCATAAAGGTCCATCATCAACATGCACATTCTTCATTTATATGTACATATACATGCATATATATATAAAATGTGCATAACTATTTTGCCTGCATGTATATAAGTGCACCACATACATGCAATGCCCACAGAGGCCAGAAGAGGACATCAGATCCTCTGGAACTGGAGTTATGGATGGTTGTTAGCCTCCATACAGGTGCTAGGAACTGAATCCAGGTCCTCTGGAATAGCAGCATGCTCTTAACTGCTGGGCCATTTCTCCAGACCCTCTTCCCTTACATTAATAATTCAATTCCTACAAGTAACCTTTGAGGCACCTGGATGATGCATCAGGGCTTAGGACATGTTGTAACATATCCAAAGTCAGAGGCTCATTAAGGAAACAGCCAGAAGTCAAGCCCAATGCTGCATGATACCCTGGCGCTCTGAGTATGTACTGTCTTCAGAATAGGCTTCCAACTCATTCTTCAAGTCCTGTCAGTGCTCTAATGGGGCTTCCCTATATCTATATTTAAATCCCTTTCAGGAAGCTGAATGTGGAGAACCAACACAAACACGTGCAGATTACATTTTCCATGTGAGTAGGATTGTGTTCTTGAACTTGTCAATTAGACACATATCTGAGTTATTCTTCCACACTGGTTTATCATATGTGCCATATCTACTTGCATCTCATTTCATCACATGTTGTTGCACTAAATTTTCCCCTCCCCCTTCTTGGGAGGCCCACGTGCCCATACCCTCTGAGGCTGACAAATCCAACAGAAGACCTTCTATTTGGGTTTTGCATAGTTGATGAGATCCAGGAGTGGGTGACTTACAAAGGCATGAATTCTCATAGGCTTTTTCTTTCCCATATTTGAAACTCAGGAGCACAGTCTTTGACAACTTTTCACTGCTGTCTCCCCGAGGTTCGTGGCTCCATTTCCAAAATGGTGATGGCTCCTTCCCCTTTTTCCCAGTGCACTCAGCACCTCTCAGCGTAAGTCTCTAGACCCACCCCTGTTCAGTTCTAGCTTTTTGGAGGATGCCTACCCAACACATGTGCAATCATTTACCTATTAAACATTTTCATATTGTTAAACATAGGTTGTTTCAGTTTGGCTTTGCTTCTACTATTACTTTTATTTGTTAGTATTCTGATTAGCATGTGGCTAATCAAAGATTGTTGCTGTGCTTTGAGTTTGGGATGTCCTCCCAAACTTCCCAGCTTCATGCTACAGAGGGACAGTAGGATGTGTAAGAGGTAAGGCCTAGTGAGAGGTCTGGGCACCGGGGCATGCCCTCTAAGGGGATTGTGGGACCTCAACCCATTCCTCTTTGGCTTCCTGTTCACTGGGTAAGTGGTTTTGTCTACCTCACAATCCTGTCATGATGACCTCCCTACCACAGGCCCAAAGCAATGGGGCCAGTCAATCATGGAATAGGTCATCTAAAAGCAGGAGCTAAAATAAATCTTTTCTCTTTAGGAGCTCCTTCACCCGAGAGTTTACTTAGTCAAAGAAAGCTGACTGATGCAAGTGGGCTTTTAGAAGCTAATGCTGAGGCTGAATTTGGGGTGTGAGCTATTCATTATCAAACAAACCTACTGAGAGGGCGTAAGAAGGAGCAAAACAGAGAGAGATCTGGCACTGTGTGAGCTCTTCAGGCAGAGAGCTCAAGGGGTTCCAGCATGGAGCTGACATGAGGAAGTTCTGGAAACCAGGCTTCCTCTTCCCCAGAGTTGTTTGTCATTGTTGTTTTGATCTTGCCTCTGCTTTTCTTTAACTTAGTGATTTTCCTGGCAATTCCATACAATTTGTATTAATTCTCATGTGTGGCCCTAAAGCCTCTGATTCCTCAGCTTAGTAGACATTTAATGATTAAGCAAAGACATTATTAAATTCTTTGAAAAGTCTCCCATTCTTTGCCAGGGAGCTCTGTGAGTGTGTTTGATACACTGTCCACCTTCTTTACCCTTCATTTCCTGTTGTGTAGAACCTCAAGCTTTGACAGACGTGAGAAACTGCTAGGTAGCTTGGGCATTCATGCAACTTTGCACATGTGGATGCCTTCTAGAGTCCACAGAATATATTAGAGTTTTTCTAATCACCTATGAAAATGGCATTTTCCAACTTTTCCTTCCATGTTTTGGTCAGACTCTTATTTGCCACAAATCATTATCCTAGCCTCGAGCAGCTTCGAACTTTAAAATTGCTATGGTGTGTGTGTGTGTGTGTGTGTGTGTGTGTGCATGCGCGCGCTTAACAAATGCCCTGGGGAAAGACTACAGCCCACGAGTTCTGTGGTCAGTCAAATAAAGATGAATGCTGTAAGTGGTATTTTCTAGACAGGTTGAATGATGACAATTCTGTTTATTAAAGAAAAACATCTGAAATTTGATTTTAAAGCAGTAAGTTTTATGGTGTTTTTAATGTTTTCTGATTTTCTTTTTCCAAGATCCAAGGAACCTTTGAAACCAACTGTTAGATCTTAAGGAGGGAGAAGAGAGGAGTTTTGAAAGAGATGTGGAGATAGATTATTTTCTAGACAGGTTGAATGATGACAATTCTGTTTATTAAAGAAAAACATCTGAAATTTGATTTTAAAGCAGTAAGTTTTATGGTGTTTTTAATGTTTTCTGATTTTCTTTTTCCAAGATCCAAGGAACCTTTGAAACCAACTGTTAGATCTTAAGGAGGGAGAAGAGAGGAGTTTTGAAAGAGATGTGGAGATAGATTTTTTTTTTCCCCCAGGCAAAAGGGTTTTAATAACACCCGCAACACAGCAAGGGTATGGGGGCAGAGTCTAGGCCCACTAAACAAAATGGACCTCTACTCTAAGTGGGGGGGGGGGGGGGGGTCCTGTCCCACAAGGAAGCAGGCTTGATAAATGTTACCTAGGATAAATGATAGGACCCATAGAGACTCTGCATAGCAGAGGGCTGGTTAATGTGTGACCAAGCTGCCTTGGACTCATCCAGAAGGTTGAGTTTGTTTTCTTGCCCTCCCCATAGCCTTCTCTGTTTAGGGCCGAAAGGGCCTGGGTGCTCTAATGCTGAGAGCTTTGCCCCTGCAGTGCTTGTGAAAAGCAGCAGCAGCCTAGAAGCCCCTGGAGGGAAAGACTGTGTATGGAGTTAAGTGACTCACCGGAGTTGTAGCCCTCTCTTTCTGAGGCAACCCATTGTTCCTGGGTCCCAGCTGACCCTAGGTATGAGAGCCTAATTGTGGCTATCCTGCTGGGCTTCCTTATCTTCTTCATCTTTGAGCTTCTACTCTTGGTTGTCAAACACCAAGAAGATCAATTCTGCCAATCTAGAGCCCATCACTAAGCTCAATCCTATGTGCTCTCTATAAAGGTTAGTATC